GCTTCGTAACACCGTGCTGTTGGTAATGGCTGCGATAGTAAAATGGTTTGATTCCACGAAAGGCCAATACATGTCTCACGGAAACCATGAACATCACGATAGGCCAATACATGTCTCACGGAAATCATGAACATCACGATAGGCCAATACATGTCTCACGGAAACCATGAACATCACGATAGGCCAATACATGTCTCACGGAAACCATGAACATCACGATAGGCCAATCCATGTCTCACGGAAACCATGAACATCACGATAGGCCAATACATGTCTCACGGAAACCATGAGCATCACGATAGGCCAATACATGTCTCACGGAAACCATGAACATCACGATAGGCCAATACATGTCTCACGGAAACCATGAACATCACGATAGGCCAATACATGTCTCACGGAAATCATGAACATCCCGATAGGCCAATACATGTCTCACGGAAACCATGAACATCCCGATAGGCCAATACATGTCTCACGGAAACCATGAACATCACGATAGGCCAATACATGTCTCACGGAAATCATGAACATCCCGATAGGCCAATACATGTCTCACGGAAACCATGAACATCCCGATAGGCCAATACATGTCTCACGGAAATCATGAACATCACGATAGGCCAATACATGTCTCACGGAAATCATGAACACCACGAAAGGCCAATACATGTCTCACGGAAACCATGAACATCACGATAGGCCAATACATGTCTCACGGAAATCATGAACACCACGAAAGGCCAATACATGTCTCACGGAAATCATGAACATCCCGATAGGCCAATACATGTCTCACGGAAACCATGAACATCCCGATAGGCCAATACATGTCTCACGGAAATCATGAACACCACGAAAGGCCAATACATGTCTCACGGAAACCATGAACACCACGAAAGGCCAATACATGTCTCACGGAAACCATGAACATCACGATAGGCCAATACATGTCTCACGGAAATCATGAACACCACGAAAGGCCAATACATGTCTCACGGAAACCATGAACATCACGATAGGCCAATACATGTCTCACGGAAATCATGAACACCACGAAAGGCCAATACATGTCTCACGGAAACCATGAACATCACGAAAGGCCAATACATGTCTCACGGAAACCATGAACATCAGTCTCAAATGTTGAATTACACGTGTGCAGATGGTCGGGATCACTTGACTTGTTAACTTGGCATTATAATCATATTTCAGACACAATCAATTATATGACAATATCAGTAACAAAGGTGTCTTTACTTGATGAATAGCTTGTCTCATGGTGCTAGCGACGACCAGACCTTTGTTAATAGCATCTGTTGTCTTGTCATTGACCCTAGGCACGCACAGATGGACTGGGGTCGATCCTAAGACGGTGACCCCACGAACGTTTATACCAACTCAGCGTTGTTTTCATAAAGACTTGTTTTGTACTTTTCATTAAGGCACGGACGGCGGTGGCCTGATCTTGACACTGAGCGTGAGTACAGGGCAACCCACAACTGCCATTATTAGTCCGTCTCACAGTCCCTGAACCGCATGCTAGACCTAGCTGCAATGCTAAAGCCTACCAAAGCAGTTCTAGATCTCCTCGGGTTCTGAATCTCCCATCTCACTGTGGCTCCTTTCCAATTTAAAAGGATTTATTTATAATATGAAAATATACATATTCAGACACGTTAGTCTACTGCCTAACTTGCATTGTGTTCGACCGCCGCTTCCTGACCATAGGGTGTGTGTGTGTGTGTGGAGAGAGAGAGAGAGAGAGAGAGAGAGAGAGAGAGAGAGAGAGAGAGAGAGAGAGAGAGAGAGAGAGAGAGAGAGAGAGAGAGAGAGAGAGAGAGAGAGAGAGAGAGAGAGAGAGAGAGAGAGAGAGAGAGAGAGAGAGAGAGAGAGAGACTACAAGCTGTAGTCTTGGTTCTTGTAATAACAACCATTGCTGAAATCTGCATCTCCGGATTCATCAACAAATAGTGTGCATTATGTATTCTGCATATGCACCTGTTTCAAAGACCTGATACGACATCAACATGGAGATGGTTAATTAACAAAAACTCTCTTCTTAATGCACCAGTTTCATTAACACAATTTATAATCCATAACAAATACTGCACACAAGGTTCTGCATCTCCGCCGGTTTTATTAACAAATAACGCATATAGTGTATGTTGCAGCATGCGACAGTTTCAGTTGTTTCCTTGTAAACATATAAAAGGTACATGTGGCTACTGTGCAATATCACACCGACAAATTGGTACTTCTTTAGATCCCTTGATATAAACTACTCTTGAGTTAATTAACATGGTGTTGGGCTTGTCGCTTTCATTACCCCATGGTGCGCCGTATTTGTATACAAAGTATAGGCCTTCTGTATATTGGCTGTGTGATTTCAGCAGATACACACACGTGTAATTAACAAGTCAGTAATTAACAGTGATCAACACTAATTACTAAGTGGCGATCGTCCTTTGATTAGCCTAAAGAGGGGATTGTAATGAAACCTTAATCTTAGAGTGAGTGAGTTGGGTTTAACGCCGCTTTTAGCAATATTCCAGCAATATCACGACGGGGGACACCAGAAATGGGCTTCACACATTGTGCCCATGTGGGGATTCGAACCGGGGTCTTCGGCGTGACGAGCGAACGCTTTAACCACTAGACTACCCCACCGCCCCCCTTAATCTTAGATACGAAAGTGCGTCATATACAGTTAACAGAGTTTACATACAAGAGCATGGTGGATATACATAGCAAGTTAACGAATATTACTGGTATTATTAGTGTTCATTAACAAATTAAATTTAGATATTTTGTCCTTAGATCAGTGTGGCAAGGACATACCAACAAAACTTGGAACTCATGTTCAATTACATGTAATGTACACAATTTACACAATCTGTTGGATACACGGGAACTTGTGATAAGTAATACGACTATAGGGCACCCGTGCCCTCCTCAAAGAAGACTTCATTTGCCTATTGCACGCATATATATCTGGCAGTGCGGATATGTTTAACACCAACAATGTATCAATTCTTATGATCATAATTCTATTCTTCAAAAGCTACAATATATATATACAAAAATAAAAATATAACGGGACGCTAAAATAAGAATATGTGCTGTCTAAAACTTTAAATTCCACAATGACACCTCGTCTTTTGTACACCACTAATAAATACCTATAAAGACGTATGTGAAATTGTTTACCAATTCAAGTCATTGAAAGTATCTTGAATCAAGCGAACGTGAAAAAAACACATTTAAGCTACAAATTGTCTTCTCTTTTCTCTCAGTTTGTCTTCCCATTAGAACTAAATCAATGAAATAATGGTGAGCAGAGTGTAATCAGAGATCACCCGACCGTAACGAATGTTTATTGGCACAGATCACTCGACCATAAAGATGGTTTATTGAAACAGTAGGTCAATGCGAACAAGAACTCGCAGAAACTGTTTGCGTATGAAATATCCTGCCGCTCATTACCTCATGTGTTGCGATGAAACAGTAATAAAACAACGACTGATTTAAGAATCGGATTTTTCTATAAACGATCCTTATTTTACATCGAAAGGTTGTTAACATTTGTAAACGTTTCTAACACACCGATATTTTCGGCATCTCCTGTGCAAACATGGACCCGATACTCTACAAGTGGTATCATAAACCGTATGTTAATACTGTAGTAATGATATAATTGAAACTGCTAAAAATATTTCTATACACTGCATTCCGATTAGAGCAATTGATTATCGTTGCGGTCAGATCAACCAGCAGTTCTGATAGTTGAACTTAAGATTACTCTCGGTGTACTGACTTTTCAAACTGAATGTTTATCAGCTAATCTTACTTTACGCGAGAAAAAAAAATAACGTAATGCAACGAAAATAAAAAAATGGGACAATTAATCAACAAATCGTCATTTCAGCATTCGAATATGACATTAAAGGATGTGAATATTAACTAAAATGACCTCGATAAATGCAATATGAATATATTAAACAGGCTATTGATATGCATATAATTGTACTATTTTATTCTTTTCATTTATGATTGTAAACGATATTACCAAACATCTTTAGACGTAATGTATGTTTATTTAAAAATATTAGTCAAATGCTCAGTCAATCCACACGCAGTGAAAAAATGTGTGTTAACACAAAAATTGTCAGTTTTAGACAATGCTTTGTTTCAATTATAACTCAATGGCTCAGACAAACACCTGTCGTTCCCTTTTTTCGATTCCCTTGTCAAACAACAACAAACCATTTGTCACAAATCACAAAGCAAACTTCATAATTTACATTCAATACGCAAAGTAAACCAATTATGTCGCTAAACCTATCCCTAGTTTTGATTGCTAACTATACACCCAAACAAGTCCGTTATAACATTCAAGTCTAGCCAGTAATAAAACAGCCAAATCGATTTAGCATGAATTCCGTGAACGTATGTGCTGATTCATTGCACGTTGAAAATGTCGTCGGTTCATTATTTCACCTTTCAAAGCGTCGTGCCCTAATTTTCCATAAATGGAAAATGACGCCATCTTGTTTTTCAAGCTTACAGGTGTCATTGCTTACCGTCACTTTCATTTAACGACAATGTCAAATATATACAAAAAACCAAAACACAAATGTAAATTACATTCGTGAAAGTATCACTACTATCTGTTCTTATAAGTTCGATTATTTTAGACTTCAAATTCGACAGAGTAATCGCACAGGTATGTCACATCAAAGGTGCGCATGACATCAGACTGCCCACGCCCGCATTGGTTGAAGAGAAATATTTACAAAAATGGGCTGTTACTGTTACCTCCCTCCCCAAGAGGGCAGCCGGTGAAAGTCTTACAGATCCCAAACCTTTGCAACATACAAATATATGTTAGTGTTATCACCGGCTTAAACACATATATGTTGTACTAGACTCGTGTGCTACAGTGCGTCTCAAAACATATTGCTTTGCTCAAATCGCTGGTAGCACACGAAGAGGGAGGGGAAGGGAATAGCCATCACATTCCCTCCGCTGTGTTCGAACAGGAAGCAGAGGACAGATAACAGAAGACTGAGTAATGGAGTGAGAAAGGTAGATAGATCCAAATCACCACACGAAGAAAGGACTGTGATTGGGAAGAGGTGAATGGAAATTCGGAAAATTGTGGATTGTTGTACGTTGGGATAACGCTAGACTAAGTGCGAAGCGGAGGGGATACCTCGACTCGTCTGGATATTCTAATTTTCGATTCAAAGGAGAAAACCTCAACCGTTTATATCAAGATTGTGAAATTACATGTGTGTTCGTCAGTGGATGTTGGTTTATCCACGCTAACTGCTGACCATGTGTAAGGTTTTTTGTTTCTGAAGGTTGTGAATCTTATAGGTTTTTTAATTGGAAACACCGATCTCGTTTTCTGTGAGGGTCGCTCACCTTGACAAACATGGCGGCTTCCACGAACCGATGTGTCTGCAAAGCAGCATTTCTCCTACATTCCTTTCTGGTCTTTGTGAGCTCAGTCCATGGATTACGTTCGCAGGATCACAATATAATATATATGCAAGATGTGGATTTAAATTCTGAAATAAGCCCTTATTTGACACACCATCGCCACGCCAGATCCCGACCATTTCACGAACGAGTGAAGCGCGCTGCACCAGTGACTCTTCAAAGGACCATAGCCGAAAATGCCACTTTTACTGATCCAATTTTCCAACTAAATACAGAGGTTACCGGTCCCCATTTATTTGAGATTGTTTCATCCACGGTTGATATGTTCGCTGTGGATAGGACATCTGGAAACGTCAGGCTGAAACCCGGTAGAACATTTGATTACGAAGACGATACCCAGCGGAGCATTCAGCTCGTAATCAAAGCAACAAACCAAAATAACATCACAGGTAACGTATATACATAGATATAAAATATGTTTAAATGTGTTATATAATAAGATTTGAATTATGTCATTCATCAGACAGTGTAGAATGTCACAACGACAACACCTGTACACCAACCATTGTGATACTGATTAAATTGACTCTTGTTTAAATGTGAAAGTCTGCACCAAACATTCAGCAACCCAGGAATGCTTTGTTCCATGAGCAATGATAAGTTACATGCTTTAAATAGTTTCTGCTTGTTAAGGGGTGTTTTATTGTAGAAGCAAAATATTTTTTGAACATGTTGAATACAATGAAGCAATTTAAATTATCAATCCACCAAACTGAAGTCTGACAACATATACATTCAGAAACATACTGTCTGAATTAATGTCACATGTATTACACCTGAATTAATGTCACATATGACCTAAATGTGAAGCAAAGTTCATTAATGAATTGGTATTTTGATGATTCATGCGAACAGTGCCCCACCCTTTTTCAGTACCTGTTCAACAACTACCATTTCACAATATTGATATGGTAGCATGATAATCACCAAACACAATATGTTCATTTCACAGACAGCCTTAGTCTTTCATTTGTGGAGAAATAAAATGTCAGTCTTGTGATTAGTGTGATATGCGGACAAAAAACAGTCATATCAATATTGATTTGTTTTTTCTTGTGTTAAATTGTCCTCATTGTTCTGAATGTCCACTGATAAGACAACAATTTCTACAGTCACTGCTAAGCAGCATGTTAATGGCTTTAGGGTTCCATTTGTGTATGTTCCACAGCAGGTGCTTTACAGTGGTAGTGAAGTACTTGATGGATGTGTAGAAGCACAGGTACTGGCTTAGGCAGCAGTAGGTTGGGATCTTTTGCAGGTGCCCCTTTCCAGTGAATTGGACATTAGGTTTGACCTGGGCAAGCTTTTAAGAGTTTGGATAAACAGGAAAGAGGTCAGATGCCAGATCTGGTGCAAGCCAGAGTCTTTTAAGTTCAATGTTGTCTGATCATGGTCTGCCAGATTATCTGCTTTAGGCCATGAAACTTAGGGATGTTGTATCCTGTGGACCTGTTGTACTGTAACAAAGTCATAGGTATTGTTTCGTCTACCCTCAATCAATATTTGGTTTCATTTGTTGCATCTGATGAAAACATCCTATAAAATTAGAATGATTGAATGGTGGTAGGGAGAAGACGGATTTAAACATGATAAAGACCAGGAAACAAGAAAATGAAGAAAAGGTTAATCTCAACAGATCAAAATAAAAACAGAGTGAACCTGACTTGGCTGACTCTTTAGATTATGGTGAACTCTGATGAACTGCAGGTGATAAAATAATAATATAAAATATTAGTAAAACACATGAAGAATTAGTAGCAAGTTATACTGCAACTGTTTTATTCAGGCTAGACCAAATAATATAATTGTTTATCAAAACTGCAGGTCACTACTTGGAAAGTAAACAACTGATTCACCTTGGTGTGTATTTTTTTTCATCTCAAGTGAGGGATGCTGCACTAAATTCTGTTCATTGACGTAATCGATATGATCTACCAACAAGTATTTGGATTGCATGTTTCTCAAACCGATACTCATGTTGGTACAATGTTGGTAAAGGTATGAAGAATGGTAGACCCAAAACCATTTGCATGCATTTTGATGTTATTTTGTGGCATTTCATCAGTGTGTGAAATAAGGCTCGTCCGACCACCCGAGACGGTCTAGATTTCTGAATGGTCTAAAGCTAGCCAGCCTGATGGTCTGGTAAAATATTTTAGATGTTCCATACATCTGAGTAAGTTCACCATATTTGGTCTGGTTAAATCCATTTTGGGCTGGTAACATTTTGAAGTTACCAGCCCTGATGTCTGGTTGGATTTTTGGTTTATTTCATACACTGATTTCATCTTAGATTATGTAAAGTAACAACTGTGAAAGGTCCTTCAACTTTGTCAAGTAGTAAAACTGTCATAGCTGACAATAACTCTGTTAAGAAGTGTTATTTTTGACAAGGTAAACAGCAAGAATGATCTGCCTGAAACATGTCGGTGCAATTGAGGCAAGCCACTAACTAAGAAATAATGGTGTTTTTCAACCCTTTTTCATGTCTGCGTCACTTTCAGATTGAATGTCAGTGTTGTGAATATGGAACTTGAAAACGAGACATTCATCGAATCTCTGTTTTTGATAACCTGCTGAACTTACATTTGACCAGCTTCCTGAGATAATGGGAAAACTTTGTGGTAACTACCTTTTTATAATGGCTTACTTAATCATTTGAATCATAATGGCATATGCTTTACCGATGGAAATTTATCTGTCTGTTGACAAGAAGATTGTAACCTTTGAACAAATCCCTGTTTTTCCTTTTCTTCTTCTTCTTTTTGAGCATCAGTCCCTTTCAGAAAGGAATTCCTATAAAGCGAGTGATTAATTTGGTGTAGCCTAAATTGATAATGCAGATAAATTACACAGGGCCATAACTAGAGTGAGTGAGTTTGGTTTTACGCTGCTTTTAGCAATATCACGGCGACGGACGCCAGAAATGGGCTTCACACATTGTGCCCATGTGGAAAACCGAACCCGGGTTTTCAGCATGACGAGCAAACACTTAACCACTAGGCTATCCCACCGCTTTGCCATAACTAGAGTAATGGTTAGAAACATCTGTGTAGTAATGTGATTAAACTATGTAAGAAATAAAAGGAGCCCAAACTCAAATTGTTCCAACATTTCAAAATCTGACACAGTCATATCCATAATCCATGACATACAGAATGGTAGCAATGGCAGAAATACAAGCCATCGTGATGTGTTTCCTGTTGGAAGTCTCATGTTGAGTATCATTGAGTAACCCTGCATGGCCTTCATTCTCATTAAGTACATTTCTTTATATAACAAGAGTGTTGTCATTTTCTATTGTTTCTCAGCGAAAGCCTCCCAGTGGGCAGCAGACTTTAGATAAGCCCCCCAATGTGAAGAGACGAAGAATAATGTTCCAGAGGTCACTGGTGTCACGTTAATCCCAAAGGCTTCATTTTCTCATAATAAATTTGCTTCAGGACTTGAAGGAATTTGCACCGAGATCACTTTCTCATGGCCAGGTTAATATGATCAATCTCAGGAACAACATAAAAGAAAGCTGTTTTCAGCAGCAAGAACCTGATTAAATGAAACTAATGGCTTGTACATGTTGTAAACGATTATACTGATATAGTGGAGAGGAAGCATGCCTCTATTAAACTCATCACCAGTGGTAGAAAACTAGCTTTCTAGATCTGCTTTTGACAAAACATCACTCGGTACCATCAAGTCTTGATATGAAAGGCAGTGAAATCTGAGGATCGTTTATGGACAAAAACTGCAAGATAAGTGCTGTGATTATGTGATTTACATTGATCTGGGAACACGAGAACAAGAGGGGCACCTGCCGATGGTTAGTTTTATCATCATGTCATGAGTAGGCCATGAATATTGGTGATAAATTGTAGTACACTATTTATATCGGGAATTATATGTCACATAATCTTGTCCCAATTTATTGTCATTAAAGTAGGCTGGGACTACTTGCAGGGACAGCATAAACATATACTGCTTCATAAACATATACTGCTTCATAAACATATACTGCTTCATAAACATATACTGCTTCATAAACATATACTGCTTCATAAACATATACTGCTTCATAAACATATACTGCTTCATAAACATATACTGCTTCATAAACATATACTGCTTCATAAACATATACTGCTTCATAAACATATACTGCTTCATAAACATATACTGCTTCATAAATATATACTGCTTCATAAATATATACTGCTTCATAAACATATACTGCTTCATAAACATATACTGCTTCATAAACATATACTGCTTCATAAATCTAACTTGTGCTGAAGGAAATCCAATTTTTAAAGGCATCGTCAGTCAGTCATTTTATTTTGCACATTTATGAAATGGGTCATCAACACAAATAGTACATGGAAAACGTCACTATCAAACCTATTCAGAAAAAAATCTCCCTATTATATTGGTTGCTACCCAAGACTTTATTTGATATGAATAAGAAATAAATAATTTCTTTCAGAAAATTGAGCTTTTTAATATATTAAAGACTGACATTTTGCAATTTACATGTTCTGTAAGATTGCATTTAAGCAGGTCATGGGAACTCTAGCAGTTGTGTTTTGACATGGATATGACAGTGTTATTGTTCACGCTTGTTGTGTATGTATCTATGACAGACAGTGAATCAGCAGCGCCAGATGTTCCTGTAGACTGTGTGTGTGTTGTAATTACAGCAGGGACAAAGGCGAGTAGACTGGGAGCAGAGCAGGAGTGCTCTTCCTGCTCTACATAGTAAGCGAGAGCCAATATTCTAGTGTGATATTGATCTGTTTCACATCTTTTTACACACTGTAGGAGTTTGGGAGACAGAACATCAATATATGTTTTTGTGAAGCATGGGGAATCTTTCCTCCCTTCACACCAGGGTGTAGATTGCCTACGGTAGGGAGATAGAGGTGTGCAAATGTCCTCGCACACACACTCAGGGTGTGTATGCTGTGCTCAATACGGATTAGAGGGAGGCGTGTCGTTTTCAGGTTCATGTTGACTTTAGACTAATGTGATAAAGGGTTGAAAGTCTGATGGTCTGCATTTCAGGCATGTATATTACCAGGCGGTGGCGTAGCCTACGGGTTAAAGTGTTCAGTTGTCGTTCAGTTGTTGCGTCAAAGATTCAGGTACAATTCCTCAACTTTGTAGCCCATTTCAGGTGACACCTGCCATGATATTGCTGAATTATTGCTAAGAGTGGTGTATATTACAGAAAAAGAACACAGAATTGGAAACTGAGTTCACTGGTACTGGTGGTCTAAGTGTTCTTACTGCAGTCTTGTATCCATTCTTATAATGTTTTTATTGCCATCTGTTTCTGAAATAGGTCCCAAGGTTGGAGATTCCCAAGTACTCAGTCACTTGATCTAAGCATGTTCAA